AAGTGCTCAGAAAACAAGAAGACAAGGAACCTGTTGGAAAGGGACCCAGGAGACACAACCCCAAAGAGCTTCCCATGGCCAAAGCGAGAACTGTTTGAGCAACAGAACAAGTCAGTACTTTTAAAATGTAGATTTTATTGTTATTCATGTATGGTGAAGGCTAACAGAGCAGGAGACAAGTGGGAGTGGAAGACAATGTTGCATACAGTTCCTAAGAGGTGGGGCAAGCCACCCCATAGGGGCCACACAAGAAAGCACCAGCACAGACTGGGAGCCAGAGTGAGCAGAGGGGAAATATGGGCAGGAGCCTTTATTGTGGAGTATGGAGGGGGGAAGAGAGGGAAAAGATGTTTTCATCCAAGATGAAGGCAGAATCTTGTGTCAGAGAGTATTTCATGATCTGATCCCACACTTCTAGCCTTCAGTCATTTTATACCATTTCCAGGATCTACTCCCCTTACATGAGTGAATGTGTCTTATAGAGCAGCTAAGGTAACTTAAGCAGATAGAAGAATAGCTGGTTGCAGAATCTTAGGATGATGCCAGTCTCATGTCATGGGAATCAGAAAATGCCCAAGTTCCCTCCAACAAAAATGGCCGCTTCTGGGGCATCTGCCTTCGGCTCGGGTTGTGATCCCGGGGTCCTGGGATCGAGCCCCGTGTTCTGCTCCTTGCTCAGCGGGGAGCCTGCTTCTCCCTCTCCCAGTCCCCCTGCTTGGACTTTGTGTGTGTCAGGTGAATAAATGGAATCTTTAAAAAAAAAAATTTTTTAAAAAATGGCCGCTTCTCCCAAATCTGTTCCTCACATCACAGAACATTTTCTGACTATATTTTTTTACCAATGGACTTTCTTACTCTCTTTGTTCACTCACAAGAAATAGTACAGGTATTCTAAAGCAATTAGTTGGGGGCAATTTAGAGAATAAAAAGAAAGTCATTATGCAAATACATATTAACAGTTATTCAACCTTGAAAAGCATTGTTTCTTCAATGAAAGGGGATGCTAGATTCATGTTTTCCGCCTCAGTTGTTAACATTCCTTGTAATTAATGTCAGGCCTCTGAATGGTGATCTTATTCCTCACTAAATGGTTATTATTCTACCAACTGCCTTTATGACTAAGAGCCCTCCAGCTGTCTTTCCCAGTCACATCATTCCCTTTCTGTCCTTCCACTACTACTTTCTTTGGCAGAGAGAAACCCCCACGTGGTCCCCTGGCTTCAGTAAAGCCATTTTCCACCTGAACACACAATCAGTGGAAGCAGAGAATCCAGGAACAGTAAGTACAAGCAAAAGATGTTCTCTTCTTTGTATTATCTTTCTTTCTTTTTTTTTAAGATTTCGTTTATTTATTTGAGAGAGCAAGAACGAGAGCCAGAGAGCACAAGTGGGGTGAAGGGCAGGGGGAAAAGCAGACTCCCCGCTGAGCTGGGAGTCCAATGTGGGGCTTGATTCCCATCTCAGAACTCCGGAATCATGACCTGAGCCGAAAGCAGATGCTTAACCTACTGAGCCACCCAGGCGCCCCTCTTCTTTGTATTTTCAATGAGGAGTCTCCAACCCTTTTGTGGAAAAGAGCTGGCTAGTTATTTTCCTAAAGCCTCGCAATGTCTAAAGGGTTATGGGTGAGGACTAAGCTTCTGCCTCTACCCCTTCTCACTAGAAATGCCATACGCTTGGCTGTGGCCTTTCTTTGAAACTGGTGGGAATCCCTGCCCCACAGAGCCTGAAGGAAAGAAAGGTCAAGCACTTTGTGATTGTCATTTAAATTTAGAATTGAGGTATTCTTCCCTGCCAACTGTGGCTCAAATGTAAATGTAAACAACTGTAAAATCAATTGGCTTAGAATAAGATCACAAGCAGCTTTGGTAATTCATCAAGAGAGATTTATGCTCACTGGAGGTAATGGGTTGCAAAGGAGTATTTTTTTAGAGACACAATTTCTATGACAATTGAGTTCTTTGGGGAGGCTCTGCATTTAGGCAGACAGCGGAGTTCAGGGGGAAAAATGCCTATTCTCAATTGCCTTCAGCTCAAAATACTTTTTGTTCTGCAGTGGCTACTACGGACCCCTTCAGCCTATTCCAAGGAGAGGCTGCTTGCTGATAAGACTCAACTGAGTGCCATGTTGTGATTGCTGCTGGTGCTCACCGCTAACCCTTTCCCCACTAATCTTTGGAATCCACACCCCTCAAGCTGCTGTTCCCAGTACCACACCTTACAGTGTCAAGAACCACTTTTCTCTGACATGCGTATTCTGGTCCTGCCCTTACCCACTGCTGCTCAGGAACCATTTGTGGTCTCCACTCCTGAAGCCAATGTTGCTAAATCCCCAAATGTAGGTTAGAATTCTTTCACCTGAAGTGTGACCTCATTCTCTGGAGAGAGAGCTCCCCCTGTTGAGAGGTTTGGACCAAGTCATTAGGTTGCAAGACTCCAACTCATGGGGCACCTGGGTGGCTCAGTTGGTTAAGCCAGGCTATGCTCTCAGGGTGCTGGGATCCAGTTGGCTGTCCGCTCAGAGGGGAGTCTGCTTCCCCCGCACCTGCCGCCCTATGTGCCCCATACCCCCTTGCCCCCCACCCCCCTCCATGCTCATGCTCACTCTCTCTCAAACTAAAAAAAAAAAAAAAAAAAAAAAAAATCCAAATCAAACTAGCTTAAAATAAAAACAATCACTGGCTTACATAATGGCAAGTGGGGGGGGGGGGGATAGATGGCCTTAGCCACAATATTCTAATTCACATGACTTCTCTCCTTCTCCACCTTCTGACTTCACTTCTTTAAACTCTTGGCCTTCCTTAACTCTTCCTTTGGCTGATACAGGCTATCTGGGGCACATCCTTAGGTCCTCAGAATAGAAGAGTTTCTTAGTTTATAGATAAATGCCCAGAGGAGGATTCTGCTTGGTTCTAATTGAATCCACTTACTCATCCTTGAACCAATCACTGTGGGAAGGATTCTATGATTGGCAGCCCCAGGAGGACCAAAAGGAGTAGGGGTCGGTTCTAAGAAACAGGAATCGTGGCAGACAAAAATAGCAGATGTTTCCTACAACAATATATTGATAAATACCAGAACTCTTATAAAAAGACACATAACCTAATTAAAAATTGGCAAAGGTGGGGTGCCTGGGTGGCTCAGTCGGTGGAGAGTCTGCCTTCAGCTCCTGGGATCAAGCCCCGCATCAGGCTCCCGGCTCAGCAGAGAGCCTGCTTCTCCCTCTCCCTCTGCTACTCCCCCTATTTGTATGCTCTCTCTCTATCAAATAAATAAAATCTAAAAAAAAAATTGGCAAAGGACTTGGATAGACATTTCTCCAAAGATATACAAATGGTCAATAAGCCAAGATGCTCAATATCATTAGGTATGATATGCAAATCAAAACCACAAGATACTACTTCACAGCCACTAAGATGGCTATAATCAGATAATAACAAAGATGTGGAGAAATCTGAATGAGTCCTCATACGATTTTTGGTGGGAGTGTAAAATGGGGCAGCCACTGTGGAAAACAGGCAATTCTTCACATGGCTTAACATAGTTAACATATATATGTATATATATGAAAGAGATGAAAATATATGTCTGCACAAAAAACTTGTACATGAACATTCATAGTAGTATTATTTATAATAGCCAAAAATTAGAAACAACTTTTTTTTTCAAGATTTTATTTATTTATTTATTTGAGAGAAAGAGAGAGAGAGAAACAGCATGAGGGGGGAGAGGGTCTGAGGGAGAAGCAGCCTCCCCGCTGAGCTGGGATCCCGATGTGGGACTCGATCCCAGGACTCCGGGATCATGACCTGAGCCGAAGGCAGTCGCTTAACCAACTGAGCCACCCAGGCGCCCTGGAAACAACTTTTTGATGAATGGGTAAACAAAATGTGGTATACTACACAATGCAGTATTATTCAGCCATAAAAAGAAATGACGTAGATACAGGCAAAATATGGATAAACCCTGAAGACATTATGCTAAGTGAAAGAAGCTAATCACAAAAGACCACATAAACATGCCATTTATACTAAATGCCCAGAATCTGTAAATCTGTAGAGACAAAGATTAGTGGTTGGGTAGGGCTGGAGGAGTTGAGTGGATTCAGGCGATAGCTCAAATAGAGTTTCTTTTTGGAGTGGTTAAAATAGTCTCAAATCGATTATGGTGATGTTGCACAACTCTGTAAATATACTAAAAGCCATTGAATGAGCACTCTATACGGGTTAAGTATATGATGTGTGAATAATATACCAATAAATAGCCAACCAGTGTTCCTTCTGTATGTCCTGCTCCCTCCTTTGGGGTCTCTGAGCCATGGGGAAAGCTTCATCTGAAGCTAGACAGAGAGTTCCAATCCTGCTTCTATTTCCTTACAGTTAACTCCTTCATCAATAGGTACCATGGGCATGATAATCCCTGCCTGGGAAGGTTGTGATTTTTAAAAACATACATTAGGATTAATAATTACAGTATCTGATACATAGTTGACGCTCAATAAACACTACTGTGAATGTGTACAGCAATGCATATGTGTATACACAAGAACATGGGGGCTGTTGGGGAGATTTTTTCGTATCGGTGGTCTCAGCCCTCCCTGCCCATGTCTCTCAAGCTCTGGGACACAGGCAGCAGCGCAGAGCACGAACCCCGGTGCCAAGGAAAAGTCCCGCATCCCGGGCCGAGCAACGGCAATGAACGGGCTCGAAAGGCGTCCAGAAGCCGCCCTGCCGAGCAGAGAGCGATGCCACGTAACCGCGGGGAACCGGAACGCAACAACACAGGTTAGGTTACCCGGGACTGAGAGCCAACCAACCGCTCGCCGCCTTGCAGCGAGCGGAGAACAATGCGCTCAGCCCTGCGCGCGGAAGCTCGCGGTGCCGCGCCCGGGGGCGTGCCCGGCCCGGGGCCTGCTGGGAAATGCAGTGTCTGAAGCTCTGCCACGCAGCCCCACTGCTCTTCGGAGCGAGCCCAGTGCAACTACAAGTCCCATCACGCTCCGCGAGGTCTTGATCGCCCGGCTTTTGCAGGGAAAGGAGTGGGGCGAACATGGCTGAAGGCAGCCGGGGCGGCCCAACGTGCCGCGGGATGGACGGCAGGCAGGACCCGGTCTCCAGCAGTGGGAGCTGCAACTTTCCAGAGTACGAGCTTCCCGAGCTAAACACGCGCGCTTTCCATGTGGGCGCTTTCGGGGAGCTGTGGCGTGGCCGGTTGCGCCGGGAAGGGGACTTGTCGCTGAAGGAGCCACAGGCAGCCGCGTTGCCTGGGAGCCAAGGGGTCGCCGACTGGGGCCAGGAAGATGCTGCGGTGGCCCGGGACCTGGGCTGCAGCCTGGAGGCAGCAACCGAACTGCGGACGGTGTGCGGGTGAGTGCGGGGCCGGGGGGTTCTTGCTGCTTCGAGCTAACCTGGGTGCAGCCTTGCTCCTGCGCTCCCCTGGGATTCATCCTTGGGAGGGCCTGTGGTTTACTCCCAGGGGTAGGAGGACCGCCCTTCCAAAGCTTTCAACCTGCTGGAGCTTTCCTGGAACCCCGGGAGAAGTCCCGTGATCGGAATGCGTAATTTCGGCGAGTTGGAGTGAAGGGACGAGAGAGCTGCATAAAAGATTAATTTTTCTCTGGTTAATTTTTTAAGTGCTTGTTAATGTTGAAAAGCAGTCATGTGTAGCTGCCATTGACAAGACACTTTGACAATGGAGGAGCCTTAAGTAATGATGAGGCTGGAAGGAGATTTAACCAGAGGAGTGTTAAAACCTTTGATTAATTGTGGTTGTTTTCGGAGGACCTCCAAGTATGCTGTTACCGAAAATTTCCCCCAAAGTGCCTTTTATGGGGTGAAAATATTTTTTAAAGAAACTTAACTATTTCTTTCTCCGTTTAACAGTATGGGCCATCATACATCAATCGGCCATGTGTCCTTTGTAGGAAATCAGCACTGGTATCATTGTCTTGAATTCCGGCCTCCTGTGAATCCCGCCGGCTGGATTTTATCTGACTTCTTAATTGCTTAATGATGTATTTAGGACACAACCCTGACTCGCTGTGGTCAAGATGGGTGATTGCTTTTCCTTTGTATTTATGTTTTAGCCTTGATAAACTCAAGTGCCTTGAGGAGGGTGAGGATCCAGATGTCGTCCCAGAGAATACCGACCTAGTGACTTTGGGGTATGGAAGACTACTTTTATTATGTGGTACTTAATTTGAATGTTTTTCCAACATTATATTGGAAAAATACTTATTGTTATCACCCCACCTCCTAAATCCAACCATTAACATTCGGCTTAATTTGCTTTAGCTCTGTGTGTTTGAGATACCTGCTGCAAGTCTTTTTCTGTTGCTGAACCGTTCAGTGAGTTTCAGACATCGTAACTGAGACCTGAATACATCAACATATAGTTCCCCTAGGTATCAGTCTCCTACATAATCAGAGTGGTATGATTGCACCTAGGAAAATTAGCAGTAAATACATAACCTCAGGGGCGCCTGGGTGTCTCAGTCATTAAGCGTCTGCCTTCGGCTCAGGTCATGATCCCAGGGTCCTGGGATCAAGTCCCACATCCGGCTCCCTGCTCAGCTGGGAGTCTGCTTCTCCCTCTGCCTGCTGTGTTCTTTCTCTCCTCTTTCTCTGACAAATAAATAAATAAAATCTTAAAAAAAAAAACACATACCCCCTAATGTCCAGTCTGTATTCAGATTTGTGTTTTTATTTTTGTTTATTTTTACTTATTTTTGTATTTTTAAATACATGTGTTTACAAAGGTCAGTCTACTTAGATTCCAGTGCAAGCTGAATACTGATAGTGTCTTTCAAACTGTTTTCTTTTCAACTTTTAATTTTTGACAGTCATATTTTTGTGAAATAGGATACCAATGAATTACTAGGAAAATAGGATTAAAAGACAAACACAATAATAAAAGTCCTTTATTTTAAAGATTTTTATTTATTTATCTGTCAGAGAGAGAGAGCACAAGCAGGGGGAGCAGCAGAGGGAGAGGGAGAAGCAGGCTCCTCACTGAGCAAGGAGCCCGATGTGGGACTTGATACCAGGATCGTGACCTGAGCCGAAGGCAGACGGTTAACGACTGAGCCACCCAGGCGTCCCAAAAGTCCTTTATTTTAGAACAGAGGTTATTATTACTGTTATTTTTTGAAGATTAAAAAGACTTTTTTAAAGATAACTCCCCCCCCCCCCCAAACTTCCAGACTTCCAGGTCATTATGCTTTTTATTTTTTCATTTTTTGAAGTATATCATTGTCTTGATTTTTTTTTTTTTTTTTGGAGAGCATTCGTGCAGGGGAGGGTGGGGTGCAAAGGGAGAGGGAGAGAGAGAATCCTAAGCAGTCTCTATGCTCAGGACGGAGAGCTGGGGGGATGGAGAGCTGGAGCTCGATCTCATGACCCTGAGATTATGACCTGAGCTGAAATCAGGAGTTGGCTGCTCAATTGACTGAACCACCCAGGTGCCCCTTGAATTTGTTTTTATTGAAGTATAGTTGACATAAAATGCTTCATTAGTTTCAGGTGTATGGCGTGGTGATCTGACAGCTCTATATGTTCAGTGCTTACCGCAAGTGTAGCTACCATCTGTCACCACACAAGGCTATTGATAATACCAGTTACATTAACACTGACTATATTCTTTATGCTGTCCCATTATCCCCATGACTTACTTATTCCACAACTGGAAACCTATACCTGTCACTCTACCCATTTTGCCTCTCTCCCCACCTCTCCTGGCAGCCGTCAGTTTGTTCTCTGTATTTATGGGGCTGTTTTCTGCTTTTTGTATGCTTGTTTGTTTTCTTTTTTAAATTCCACATATCAGTGAAATTATATAGTATTTGTCTTCCTCTGAATTATTTCACTTAGTATAATACCCTCTAGGTCCATTCATGTTCCTGCAGATGGCAAGATCTCATTCTTTTTTATGGCTGAGTAATATTCCATTACACATACCACATCTTTATCCATTCGTCTATCCATGGACACCTGAGTTGTTTCCATCTCTTGGCTGTTGTAAATAATGCCCTAGTAAACATAGGGATGCATTTATCTTTCGGAATTAGTGTTTTTGTTTTCTTTGGGCGAGTACCTAGTTGTGGAATTACTGGATCATATGGTATTTATATTTTTATATTTTTCAAGAACCTTCATACTGTTTTCCACAGTGGCTGCACCAATTTAATTTCTACCAAGAGTGCTCAAGGATTCCTTTTTCTCTACATCTTCGCCAACACTTGCTATTTGTCTTTTTGATTCTAGCCATTCTGACTAATTTGAGATATTTCTTGGTTTTGATTGGCATTTCCCTGATGATTAGTGATGTTGAGCATCTTTTCATATGTCTGTTGGCCATCTGTATGTCTTCTTTGGAGAAATGTCTATTCAGGCCCTCTGGTATAGTCCCAATAGTTTATTTTGTGTGTGGTTTTTTAAAAAAGATTTTATTTTATTTATTTGTCAGAGAGAGAGAGAGCACAAGCAGGGAGAGCAGCAGGCAGAGGGAGAAGCAGGCTCCCTGCTGAGCAAGGAACCCGATGTGGGACTCGATCCCAGGATCATGACCTGAGCTGAAGGCAGATGCTTAACCGACTGAGCCACCCAGGCATCCCATCCCTTGCCTGAGGAGACGTTTTGAAAAATATCTCTAAGACTGATGTCTAAGAGATTATTGCCTATGTTTCCTTCTAGGCGTTTTATGTTTCAGGTTTCACATTTAGGTGTTTAATCCATTATTGAGTCTATTTTTTGTGTGTGGTGTTAAATAGTGGTTCAGTTTCATTCCTTTGCATGTAGCTGTCCAATTTTCCCAACACCAGTTGTTGAAGAGACTGGCTTTTCCCCATTGTATATTCTTGCCTCCTTCATAGAGTAATTGACTGCGTAAGTGTGGGTTTATTTTTGGGCTTTCTATTCTGTTCCATTGGTCTGTGTGTCTGGTTTTGTGCCAGTATGATATTCTTTGATTACTACAGCTTTGTAGTATATCTTGAAATCTGGGATTGTGATACCTCCAGCTTTGTTCTTTCTCAAGATTGCTGTGACTGGGGGCGCCTGGGTGGCTCAGTCAGTTAAGCGGCTGCCTTCAGCTCAAGTCATGATCCCAGGGTCCTGGGATCGAGTCCCGCATCGGGCTCCTTCCTCAGCAGGGAGCCTGCTTCTCCCTCTGCCTGCAGCTCCCCCTGCTTGCACTCTCACTCACTCTCTCGCCTATGCTCTCTCTAGCAAATAAATAAATAAAATCTAAAAAAAAAAAAAAGATTGCTGTGACTGTTCTGGGTCTTTTGTGGTTTCATACAAATTTTTATATTATTTGTTCTAGTTCTGTGAAAAATGCTGTTAGTATTTTGATAGGGATTTCCTTGAATCTGTAAGTTGTTTTGGGTAGTATGGATATTTTACCAATATTCTTCCAATCCATGAGCATGCAGTATCTGTCCATTTGTTTGTGTTGTCTTCAGTTTCTTTAACAGTGTTTATAGTTTTCAGAGTACGGGTCTTTCACCTCCTTGGTTGAGTTTATTTCTTAGTATTTTATTCTTCTGGTGCAATTGTAAATGGAATTGCTTTTTAAAAATTTTTTCTTTATGCTACTTTATTATTAGTGTCTAGAAATGCAGTCAATTTCTATATATTAAGTTTGGGTCGTGCAACTTTATTACTTCCAATTACATTTTATTATTAAACTCAATAGTAAAATTACTATTCATATTCAAATTACTACTTCATATTGCTGTGAATGTTTCTACATGTTTACTCTCATGGTCTGTACTGATTGAATAACACATAGCTCTCAGATCAGTGTTGGTCTGCCAGTCACACTTTGAGAAACACTGTGCTCTGATAGTATAGAGAAAATGTGTAATGGTGACATTTATAATTTCCAGTTTGTAGCCCGCTTACTTCACACCACCTCATCTTTTTAAATCCTTGATCCTACCTTTTCTGTTGTTCCCTTTGAAAATTTAGGCGTTTCAATTCCACCTTGGTTTCTTCTATAATAGCTGCCAAATCTGTTTTCCTTATCCCCACTGCTAATGTTTACTTAGTGATACTTGGAGCACCATGAACACCTCCCATCTCTCCTAGGTCCGGTTTTTTCCTCTTCTGATTTATTCATCTGTGCTACCACCTGAGCATGCTCATTTGCTGAGAAATTCCCCATGGCTCTTCCTCTCCTCTGTGACAGATTTCAGATTCCTTACGTAGACATATGAAGCGCTCCACCTACAGTCCAAATCTGCCTTTCCGGATTTATTTTCAGCCACTTTCTCTTTCAGATGGCTCAGGAGGCCCCTCTCCCATCTAAAACGCCATTATTTGAGGCCATAAGATTCCTTTCCACATTACTACAACCTATCTCCTCCCTTAGGAAATATATTCACTTATAATGTCCAGAACTCAAATTGTAATATTTCTAAAGTTTTTGAAGGCTCATTCAGAGTCGAGACCCCTTCATCTTTGTATTGACCTTAAGCCTATTGTGCTGTTTTGTTTCCCTTGGTGCTCTTTAACTACATTGATTGATGGGTTGGATATTTCTAAAATGCACATCTGGTTGTGTCTGTCTTAAAACCTTTCACTGGGGGCGCCTGGGTGGCTCAGATGGTTAAGCGGCTGCCTTTGGCTCAGGTCGTGATCCCAGGGTCCTGGGATCGAGTCCCACATCGGGCTCCCTGCTCCTTGGGAGCCTGTTTCTCCCTCTGCTTCTCTCTCTCTCTCTCTCTCTCTGTCTCTCGTGAATAAATAAATAAAATCTTTAAAAAAAAAAACCTTTCACTGGCTCTTACACAAGTCTTGAGTTACTTGGTGGCTCACAGGGGCCTCTATAGAATGGATCTTGCAGATCTTTTCAGCTCTGTGTCTGCAATGCTTCAACCACACTACAGTTTTCAGTTCCTGGAATGTGCGCTCACTCCAGGTCTTTGCCTAGAACTCTCATGCCTCCTTATACTTCTGGGTCTTGCTGAGTTCTACTCATCCTTCAAGGACTGAAGGACTGTGGACTCCCATTTAGGCCCCTTTTATGCTCATGTAGCACCCTGTACTTCCCTTTTGAAATATTCATCATGCTTATGATATACTTGTTTAATTTTCTGTCTTCCTAGCTAGACTTAAAAGTTCCATGAGCTATGTCTTTCGTACACACTGTTGTAGCCCCAGT